GGGGAGGGTGTCACTGTATTGAGAGCTGCACAGGAGAATCTGAAAGATGAGTGGCATGCCTGGTTTCCTTTGCTGCTCTGTCCTAAGAAAAAAATTGGAGCATGGGTCTTTTTTTACACCCTGACTAGCACCATGGCTTGTGCTCCAGGAAATTACCAACTAGCAAACTGCTGAGCCTTTGGTGTTAATGGAAAACTCAGACCACATCCACATGGCTAACTGGAAGCACATACTTGAAAAACTGTGGAATCCTAAACTGGAATTCAAATGTGAAACATCTGAGTGTTGGGGACTAGTTCTCAAACACAGTTTGTTGTAAAGAAATACACAGGAAAGGATGCGGTGCCCGTTCTGTGATTAGTCCCCATGCATGTGACAGGGTAAGGAGAGCAAAATCCTGAAGAGAAAGTGAAAGCAAGTATTTATGAACATGTGATTGTGTCATGAATCATCCCTAAAGAAAACTGAGAAGTAGAAATATACGAAAACGGGAAGACCACTGCAGTTGAAACAACTCCTTATCAATGTAATACAAGGAATATGTACTGAGGCTGAGGCCTACTCTGGGACAGCCCTGAGCGAGACATACACTAAGATCATACTCCCCCAGGTCTAAGTTTAGGAATCCTGGTTTTGTACTGAACTCCTTATGAGGTACTAAGACCACCAAAACAAACACTGAAGAAATGCCCACTTTCATGTCCAGACGGTCAAAATATGATGTCTCATTGAACAATTGTTTTTTTAATTCCCCAAAACACATCACAAGTTTATTGTCACTTGGCAAGTAGACCCCTGGGCGATACTCCCACATCCAACAGATGTGTCTACAGCACAGTTCCAAAGACTCACGCAAAGGAGGAGCGGCTACCCTGGGAGCCTGCTGCTACCATCTACCAGTTAGGACAACACCAGTGTTTTCTTATCTGGTTCTTCTGTGCTTCCTTTTAGGACAAATTTCACTCCAGCAATGTAACCTTTCTGTTAAGTATCAAAGCACAGTTATTAAAGTTAACTGGAACAAAGGAGAGAGAATTTTTTCGGCACTTTAGTCCTCTGCAGACTTAAGGGTTCTTTAAAAGGCACTAAAGCTAACTGAATGAGCTTCGTAAGTTTATAGTCACCTTTTATTTACAGAACTTTATTTCTTCATATCAACTTCACCCTTGAACTGTATCAATGGGATCCAGTACAAAAGAAGAGATTCTTTCAGATAATGTCAAAGACAAAAAGGGACATACTATATTCTAAAGCACCAACCACCTGGGAGGTATATTTTAGCACAATCTATGACAATGATGGTACATTTTGGTAGTTTAAGACACCAGCAACCTGAACAGGACTCAGTTCAGTAATGTCCTGCTGGACACAGGACTGAGTGCAAACAAGTGCACAGTTAAACTGCTAAAGGCAGGCAGCTGTGACAGCCAATGAACAGGTGCTTATTTTCACACGGCTAACCTCCAAGACACCACCTATGCAAGTGCGCTGGCCAGAGACCAAATGTTGATCAGAGCTATAGCAATTGAATATTTAATACATTTATAAAGTAGTTTTTTAAAAATCTAATCCTTTAATCCTACAGTAAATCATTCAAATCGGCCTTGGCTACTGATTCTTCTCTACATCTTTCTTTAGCCAGAATTTAAGGCACACCAGCACCAAGAATTCTACCTGATCAATTATGCAGCGATAATGCATAATTGTGCACTATGACCTCATGCAGATGTCCTCATGACCTCTCCAAAATAGCAGTCACTCCACAGTTATCTCTAATTCTGCTTGCTTAAAGCACAAAAGAACTTTCAGACACCAAAAGCTATAGCCATGAAAGCCTGGAGTCAGTGCAGGCAGCTTACTCTGAGAAGACCTGATTTAGAAGTATTTTGTAGAAATGCTATCCGATGATGAATAATTTCACAGGACTGACCTATAGGAATTACTCAGGAAACAGCAGGAATTCCAAGGATGCATATGAGCTTAGAATAAGAGACTTAGAAAGTTTGAGAAGTCAATGTAACAAATTTAACTATCGCCATATCTTTTTGTTGGTCACTAAGAACAGTTTCTAACATAGGGAGAACATGCAATAAAGCAGTAAACTCAACTCAAATCTAAGACGAATCCCTGCATAATTACTGGGAAAACAAAGGCACTGACAAATGAGGTGGTCTTGCCCTGGGTTATCACATGTGCCTGAAAGACCCCAGAAGGTCTCTGCCTTGCTACAGGGTTCTAAGCGCTCTCTCCCACTCTTCTTCTGCTTTGGAACCTGGCTTGTTTATTATCCTATGACTGGAGATTGCGGGCGGGGACATACGACATTTTTTAAAAAAATGTTTTGTTTAACCAATGCAACAAGTTGTTAAAACACCGGCAATCAAAGAAAGCACAAATAATGAAAGCAGTCTTAGTTACTATACCTATGCTGAAGTCACAAAAATATTAAACAAGATTGCAACACGGTTTACTAATGAACTCAGTGATCCATCGCAACCTAAGAAATGATCTATGATCTGGAAATAATACAAGTGACACTGAAGTATTAACCAAGGTATGAAGGAAGTTTGAGAGAATCTTTTCCTATAGAGTTCTTTCGAGAGCTTTTCCAGGGTTTCAAAGTCAATTCACACTAGGCTCTATTAAAGAAATGGTACCACTTTGTGAGTCCTAAGTCTGAAATAAAAACTATTTATTCATCTCCACAGCGGCCGAAGCAATAACCCTTCATGCCTACAACTTAAGCAACAGCTATTTCCTTTAAATGCTTAGATCAAAATTTTACGGGAAAGGAAGAAAAGATACAAACAAAAAAAACCCTTGGGCAAGGACACTGCTGTCTTGAGTCTTTCCCTCCCACGAGCTGGAGCTTACCTGAAGTCCTTCAGCTCCTGCTTGGCACTGCCATCCTCTCTCTTGTTGTCACTCAGGTCGGCAGCAGCTGCCAGCTGAAGGCTTCGGGTGACTGGCCCCCCACTCCGCTCTCTGGATTTTATATTGAACCGGTCTGTTCTTTTCTTGCTCGCCAGGGCGGACTTGCTTTGTAAAACAGCTTTGCTCTTCTGTACCCTCACGTGCAGGGTCCGGGAGGTTTTGCTCGAGAGCTGGGCTGAATGATTCTTGGCCACAGCTTTCGGTTTTTTCCCCTCAACGTGAGTTATTTTAGCCATTCTTATTGGGCTGGAGTTCCTTAAAGAGGAGCTTGGTTTTTTGGACTTAACCGAAGTTGCAAATTTGACATTCTGCTTGGACCTGAAGGACGAGGAGGGCAGTGGGACTTGGGCAGGGCCTGAGCTGCGGGCTCTGGTCTTGCCCAAAGGAGCCTGCGTGCTTTGCATTTTAATCTCTGCATCTGCTGTCCGTCTGCGGTGGTTGCTGTTACTGTTTTTGTCACTACTTGCAGGTGATGAGTGTCCACCTTTCTTGGATGAATGAGAAACTTTTTTTTTGGGAGGAGAAAGGGGCTTTTTGGGACAGCTGAAAGCGGCATGTTTATTCAGGCTTCCAATGTATGTGAACTCTCGATTACAGTAAGGGCAGATGTGAGACGATGACTCAGAAGCACTTTTCAAGTCAGCCTTCTGCTTTGCAGATTTGTTTTTTTGAAGGATTGCTTTCTGTACAAGCTGATTTTTTTTCTTCAATGCATTTAATTTGAGCTTATTCGATGACATTTTGCTAAGCTCAACACTAAAGTTCAATCTTTTGGGTTGTCCCATTCGTCGGAAGGCATTTTTCCCAGAGTTATCTAAAACCACCACACCATTTTTGGGTTGTATAGTTTGTTTCAACGGTACTGGATTTTTCTTAGGGGTATACCTCTTCTTGTCACTTGCAGAAGCACATGCCAGGATATGTTTGTGCAACTCAGGCATGTTGTCAACGCCTTTTCCACATTTTGTGCAGCGAATGGCAGTAGTAAACGTCTGTGGAATATTGTGTGTAGTGAAATTTGTGGCCGTCACACCAATACCCATGGGATTTCGGTGATGGTACTGAAATGGAGGTGGCTTAAAGCTTGGGTAATGCTGATTGAGACCCAATCGAACATCTGGATCTTTCGTCTTTATTCCAGAAGCCATTATTTTTATGGTCGTATAAAGCTCTTCAGAGGAATCATTTAACTCTTCCTCTTCTTTAGAAGTTTCTAATGGATCTTCTGGCAAACTCTGCATATGCTCTATATGGGCCTTGCTGGGATCTGTGAAGTTCTGGGGCCTCAGAGTCCCACTTTCAAACTCGTGGTGTGTGCACACCTTATCTGGGTGGAGATCTCGCTGGTGCTGCTGCAAATTGCACAAAAAAGCAAATTCTTTTTTACAAACAGAACATACAAAGATATTTCCAACTCCATGAAGCAAAAATCGATGCTCTGACAAATCAGTTTTATCCTTAAAAAGCTGTACACAAAATTCACATTTGAAGGGCCATTCTTCAGCATGAATAGATAAATGTTTGGTTAGATCTTTAATGGAAAGAAAAGGTGATTCACAGACATTGCAAACAAAGTTTTTGTTGAATGTTTCCTGAACGATATCCTGTTCAACAGCAGACTGGGGCTCTTCCCTGGGTTTCAGATCTTCATTCTCTAATTCCTCCGGTTTGAAAGATATCATGGGGAGAGAAGCCTCCAGATTATCACCAGAGGAAACGACAGATGATACTGCAGAAAGAGGAGGTGGAGAAGGGGAAGAGGAGGAGGAGGAAGAGAATGAAGAGGAGGAAGATGAGGAGGAGGAGGAAGAAGAAAGTGTTGGAGGCCCAGGTGAAGCAGCAGACATAAGAGGCTCCACGGGGGGAATGGGAGAGGGAGAGGGAGATACTGTAGGGGACAGAACTGGGAGTGGGGACTGTGTAGTGGCATTCGAGAGTGGCGAGGGACATGGATGAGGAGATGTGCCGGAAGAGGGGGCTGGAAGAGGTATGGTAGGAAGGAGGGGAGGAGGCGGAGTGGCAACAGTTAATACCGGAGGACAGGGTGGAGGAGACGAGGGATCTGTGGGGACCAAGAGAGGAGGCAACTGACTGGAAGAATGGGAAGACGGCTGCAGGGCAGGTGACGAAGGACAAACACCAGGTGAGGACTCAGCAGTCGGGGCAGGGAAACCAGCGTCAGGGCCAAGGTCAGGATCTGGCTGGGCTTCTAGGGACTTGCAAGGACTTGGGCTCCTGGCCACATCTGCAGTGTTTTCTACAGGTAAATCGACGCCATTATATTCATTGAGAAGAACCTTCTGTAGCATGCGGGTGGTTGGTTTCTTTTTCTTTACAGCACTACAGGTTGACTGTACTGAATGATTTTCTTTGAATTCCTTCCCTTCAGAGTCACTACAAGGCTTTTTATGCACACTGAGATCTAATACAGATTCCCACTGGACCAGAGTCTTGCCTGTACCCTCACCCTTCTGTTTGACACCACTGGATAAATCCAGTGGCTGTTGGTTGCACACATTGCTAAAAGTAGAACTGGCTGTCCACTCTTTAGATATTTTATATTCATCAAAGCACGAAGGGCTCACAGTTTCTCTCTCATCTCTCCCAGACATACTCCAGGCTGGTGAGTCACTGTGACTTTCTAATTTGGGTTTCTTGGAAGTCAGAACCGAATCGGTCCATGCTGCTTTCCCGTCACTTGGCTTTCCAAAGTCTCGAAGGGCAGGACTGTGCTGTGGAGAGCTGGGAGGAGAGGTGGTTCGCCTCTTGAACCTACTGGAGGTCACGGGTAACATGGATGCAGGAGCAGACACACAAACAGGACCTAGTTTAGGTATTTCAGTTGCTGAAATCCCTACAGGAGGAGTTAGTTTATCCTGGTTTTGAAGAAGCTGTTTGAGCTGTGATGACAAATAAACACTTTTCTCTTTATGGAAAGACACTGTCTCTGTCGTTGATATGCTCAGAGGCAGACTTAAAGAACACGAGGGAGCCACAGGGTCAGAATCTGTTTCGGCTTTAATTCTGGGTAGCACAGGTGGACTAGTAGTTCTCCGTTTCTTGGACTCACTGTTTGTGCTGCTGGAAGGTTCTTTAGGAAGATCATCTGTTATAGGGACCTGTGTGGTCTTTATATTTTGAGTAATTTCCACTGTAACTGGAGTGAGCAGACAATTTATACCATACAAATCTGCCGAATTAGATTCCATTTCAATCACATCACAGCTACTGGTGGTGTTGTTAGTTTGAATTTTACCATCAATATAGTAATTTAAGTTTTCAGAGATATTGCTAGAAATGTCCATGATGTAAACGTCATCTGCTTCCCCCTCCTCCTCTGGCTCTGTGCTCGGGACGTAGACATTCTGGGTGGGCTGGGCCTGCTCCACCGGAGGCTGCAGCTCTTCAAGGCCTCCTTTTCGCCGTACACCTTTGGGAATCAGATGGCGTTCGTGAACTCTACGCTGATGCCGTCGCATATTAGTATGAGTTCCAAAAACCTTTTTACAGTATTTGCATGGATGAAGTTCTTTAACTTCCCCATTCTCTTCTAAAATAGAAGAATTTACTGTTTCTTGGGAAGCTTTCTCTGAACTCACGATCAGACAGTCTTGCCCAAGATTGGGAAGATTCAATTCATCTTTCTGAGTAACATTTTCTCCAGATACTTTGCCATTAGCTGGGTCCTCTGATGGCTGCAGTGTCAAGCTGGGTTTTCGCTTTAACCCTGCTTCGTGGCGCCGCTCATGCCGCCTCCTGTTAATCTGCGTGCCGAAAGCTTTCCCGCAGTACTTGCATTTGAAAGCATGATTGACCGTCGACATGTGGATGTGCATGTGACGCTCCAGCCCCTGCTTGGTTGTGAACTTCCTCTCACAGTGCTGACATGGAAACATAAATGTTTCAAATGCATCACCATTGGCCTCTTCCTTAGTTTTCGGGATTTTGATAACAGGTGTTACCTCCTCTGGAGAGTCTTCAAGAACTTCTTTTGAAGTATTTTTTGGTTCTTCTAATAAATCTTCTGGTTTCTCATCACACCGTATTTCTGGCTCTTTCACAGAACTTTCATTTGGCATGTCAGCTTCCTCCTCCCCGTCTTCTTCCAACTCATCTTCATCATCTTCTTCTTCTTCTTCTTCCTCCTCCTGCTCCTCCTCCTCCTCTTCCTCCAAATCATTCACCTCACAGTTTGTTGCTTCTAATTTCTCGTCTGGTTCTGGTTGCGGCTCACAGGCAGCGGGAGGGGTTACCAGTTCTGGAAGCACATCCTGACCAGCCACCTCCTGAAGAACGGCTGGCTGCTCAAGTGCTGAAGCCGAAGGCTTCTCCTCCTCTTCTTTAGGACCTAGAAAGCACACGGAAGCAGAAGCATGGAGGTGAAGCATGGAAAACCAGCCACCCTGTGATCAACTTGTACGATTCAAGTTACTTCTCTTATACCTAAAATGTATAAGGGAGATTACGATTCACAATAAATTACTTCTACTTTATATACTTCATTTATAGAGCTGTACTGGATATGAATCCATTTCATCCACCCATTCGTTCAACAAGAATTTGCAGAGTACCTGCTACGTACCAGGCAACATTCTGGGCAGTGAGGATACACACATGAACACAACAGACAAGAATGCCCTCATGGAGCTTAGATTCTTTTCTGTGTTCAGTCACACATATGTACATCTTTGTTTATAAAAACTGTAGTGTTTAAATTGTGTTGGAGTAGCTGATAGGAAATTTCAGGAGAGTAAATTCCAGTTGTAAATTCCAGTTTTTCATGATTCCAAACTGAAACATGTTAATTGCTAAACGCATCACCAGATTAGATTCTTAGTAGTCTGTCTTGAGTGGACAATCCTCTTTCTCTCTCCTTTCTCACTTAAACCCTATGTTTACAAGCCAGAAAATTTTCCAGAATTGTGTAATCAGAGTTTTTCAAGTCAAAGACACTTTACAGATCATCTCTTCTAAGCCTTATCAAGTTATTAAGAGCTCAGGAGCACCTCACTGAAGGCAACAGAAATGTGAAGTAACTTCCGGGTTTCTATGCCTAGCCCACCTGAGGCAGGTGGTAGAAAATGGTCAGAGAAGGACTCACTGGCAAGATGACAGTGGAGCAGAGACCTAAAGAAAACAAGCCACGCATATAACTGGGGGAGGAACCCGTAACCCACAAATGCACAAGCACTGAGCCAAGAACATGCTACATGTGTTGAAGAAACAGCAAGGAAGTCAGTAAGGTGGGGGGTTGCTTGGGATCGGGGGCAGTGCGAAGAGAAGGGAAAAGGGCAGGAGATGAGAACAGAGATGTAACCAGGAACCTGCTTATGCAAGACCTTGTAGGCTGTTGGCTTTTACTCTGAGTGAAACAGGGAGCTACCAGACAGTTCTAACAGAAATATGGTATGGTCTGACTTACATTCAAGAGAATCACTCTGACTGCTATAAGAAAGAAGACCCTAGATGGACAATAGAGGGCCTAATGCATCCTCCAGGAGAAAGGCAGGACAGTCATACAGGAGTGGCAGTAGGGCTGGGGAGAAGTGGTCATACTCTGGATATATTTTGGAGATGACAATGACAAAAATGTGCTTGTTGACTGGCTGTGGTTAGAGAGAAAGAAGAGCCAAGGAGGAGTCCTCACAACTGCAATAATCCTATTTACTGCACTGCAGATGACTACTGGAGAAGCAGGTTTGGTTTGTGTACATGTATGTGCTGGGGAGATTCAAGTTACTTTGGACGTGCTGAAGTTGAAGGTACCTGATACGTTCAAGTGAAGATATCAAGCAGATAGCTTCACATGAAGCTCGAGTTCAACAAAGAGGGTGAGCTTAGAGATGTTAAGGTCCTCAGGCTAGAGAAGGTATTTAGAACACTGGACTGGGCAAGGTCACCTGGAAAGTGAATGCAGACAGAAGAGGGACAAGGGGACTGTGCCCAGATGACTCCATACTGAGAGGTTAGGGGAATGGCCAGGGAGGCACCCACAGAACCAAGAGTGGTGTGGCCCTCAGGCTAAGTAAAGAAACTACTTCAAGGAGGGAACGCTCAGCTATGTCCAGAACCACTGATGGACTGGGTAAGATGGCGCTAAGAATGGAACATTCCATTTACAAAGATGGAGGTCTGGTGAGCATGACAACAGTTTTAGTGGAGAAGTGGGGACAAAATGCTTAACAGAGTTCCTAAGGAGAATTGAAGGAGGAAAGAGAGACAGGGAGACTGTCAGTAACTCTTTCAAGATCTGCTGTAAAGGAAAAGAGGGAAATGGGGTTGGAGTCAGAAGGAAACACAGGGACAACAGGTGACTCTTAAAGACAGGAGCTGTAACAGCAGGTTTAATGCTGATGGGGATGGTCCAGATGCTGCTTTCCCTACAGCACCACCAGGTACACTGCTGAATTGGGCCCTCTTACCTGCAGACACTTTCAGAGCTAAGACAGGCACTGGAGAGGAGGCAGAGCTACTCTGATATCTCCGAGCTATGTTATCTGGATGTTCCCCCAATCACTAGATAAACATTTACTGCGCACCCACTATATGCCAGTACTAGGTAAACAAGACTGTCAAGGGCTTACCCGTATAGAGCTTCACTTTAACAAGCAAGCAGGCAACATACTAAAGTAAAGTAATGGCTGTGCTCATGGGAGTGAGTGTGGTACAGAAGTATACAGCAGGGGCATCCAATGGGACTTGGTTAATCAGGCAAGGCTTCTTAGAGAAGTACTACACAGGCTGAACCTGAAGGACTTAAGAATCAAGCACGGAAGAGGAAAAGCAAGCAGGGAGGAATCAAAACACAGAGAACACTGTAAATTAGCGTGGACTATCTGGGGGCAATAGGGATCCATCAAGGAGAATGAGAATGCCATTGGCAGATTCAGCTGCAAGAGGGGTTAAGGGACGGGGAGGACATTACTGGAGACCAAGGAACAAGACTGGTAGAATGATAACAGAATGGAGATGCGGGCAGAAAATGCTAAGCAGAAAACGCAAATAAGTAGTAAAGGCAGAAAAAGTAGCCAGACTTTCACGACACAAGAGACCTGTTGCCGGATGTGGGGACTACTTGGATACAGCAGAAAAAAGGGGGTCAATGCAAAGTATTACCACAAGTTGATTACTCAGTCCCAGCCCTCTTGCTATTTCCCAGGAATATCAGCCTAACTTTTTTTCCCATCTGCTACTACATTTACCAGCAATGAGGTTTCTGCTTCTAAATAGAAACCAGCCTTCTCCCCTTAGACAAATTTCATAAATTCCATGAGCTTTTCCACAAACAGGGAAACCAGTCATTTGATGGTGATAATATATTGTAAATTAGGAGCTAGCTCTCTTTTCAAATACATTTTCAAAAAGACCCAGAATGTTGCCAAAAAAAGTCAAAATGAGACAACAGAAAATGCCTCTCTGAGGCTCAGAAATTTCTTCATAGAGTTCATGTTCAATCAAAATCTGTGGCTTCCTTTGATGGGGGGAAAATGTCTTTTCCCTATGACTGGTAAACAATCCCAGATTTAGAACTGTCTAAAGTAATATGAACCTAAATATGCACAGCTCCATTAACTAAAAAGGTCCATGCCAAAGTGTGTCCACACACTTGATATAGTCTGTAGAGCTTTATATATAAAAGGTTTGGGGACCACAAAAAGGAGTCTGAACCATTTACTCATTATATAGACCATTTGCTGCGGACAAGGTGGAACATTCAGGGAGGCCTATGAACACACTGCACAGAACCGGCCTCACGTTGATCAGCCATACCACAAACTGTGGGGAGGCAGGGGGAGGGGGGACACAGCAAATGTCTTTTTTCATGGGACCTGATGTTTTATCAGGGAAAAAAATATTGCCTAAATTACTGAAGAGGAGGAGGAGCCTGTTGGATTTGCTTTTCAATTCTGCCACCAAAGGTAGTGAGGTTATTGAGTAATTTTTGTTGTTCAAACAAATGTCTTAGCAAATCTGCTACTAGGAGGCAGAACTTAGTTTTATAAGGCTCTGGGAAATGAACTCATCTATTCTTGCTTCAAAGAACAGCACAAAAAATTACAATCCTTTATGAATGCTATCACTACAAACAGTGCTAATGAAATGGTTACAAAAGGCATCTAAAATATTTTGGATTTTTTTCTCTACAAATATTTCTTGAAAGAGTTACAAGCCTGTATTCTGAAATTTGTCTGTGGGGGTCACTATAAACAACTCTTGAGCAAGGCCCAGTCTCTATATAAACGTGCCCATCGCAAATTAAGACACACCTCCCTCATCTCTGTATGGATAGTGTCAATATGGCGGCCCCACTGCAATGACCACAGGGCAGGCTGTCTTTCTGATTAACTTTCAATCCATGCCTCTCTGTGAATTCTTACATCATGGAAGGCCTAGATTATTAATCCTCAGAGGAACTATAAAGAAGAACATTTTACAGGGAGAAACACAAAGAGACAAAATGAGAATTTAAATTCTAAAAAAAAAAAAAAAAAAAAAAAAAAAACAAACAAATACTTTTCATTCTGTTATATAAAATCAAAGGTTTTTCATATTTTTAAGTAAATGTTTAATTGAAGTGTAAAACACACATATATTAAAGTGTATAAATCATAAGTACTTAGCAAGATAAAATTTTTACTAAGGAAAAACACCCACGTGACCACCCCACAGATCAGTAATGGGAAACTACCAGGACCTCAGAAGCCTCCTCACAGCCCTGCCTTTTATCGTCATAGATTTGTTTTCATGATTTTGAACTTTGTATTATTTGTAAATACAATCATATAGTATGTTCCATTATATTTTAACAAGAGAACAATTTCATTTTTAACAAGGATTTTTATAATTAACAAGGATTTTGACAATTTTTTGAAGAGAAGGTAGGATATGGAAGGCTCAGTTCACCATATTCAATTTAGGCAGTTTTGCTGTTTAACCCCTTTACAGTTCCTGAGAATGATTCTCAGAAGGGCAATAGGAGACACGAAGTTAAATTAACTGGTACATACATACCCAAATCAGACCAGTCCAATATCACAAGCTTACCTTCCACAGAATCTCTCATATTTGCAAAGGTGGAATCTGGCTCACTTGTCTTCAGCTGTATGTCCTGGGTTTTGTTTCCTTTGTTTTTATTTTCCTGGGATTTTTTCTTCCCTGAAACACAATATTTATTTATTTATTCATTTACTTGTTATTCTAAATTCTTAAAGATGACAATTATTAATCCAATCACAGCAAATTGCATATTTCTAGGTGGTTATCACTTTGGATTCCTAAAGAAAGAAATGGATGATGAATATAAATACTTTAAGTCATGTCAGAGAAAAAACCAAAAATCCATAAATCCTGTATTTTTGAGAATCCTGGACATTAGTTTCCTTGATAGCTGTAACAGTGATCAAATTAACAGATAATACATTCTCAAAGAGTTAATGCTGATGTCAAAGGAAAATCAGTAATAAATAGCACAGAGTTTCAATACTACACAAATATTAGAGACTGGCAGAAGTCTGGTTATCTGTAAGAAGAGCACATTAGAGAAAAACAATATGGTGTAACTTGGGGCTCTTTTAGTTAAGATATGATTAGCCACAATTGTCAGAAGTAGAATAAGAACAGCAGAGATTCCACTGGATTACCAGGGATACACATTCACAATGGCTCAAATATCAAATGCAGAGTAATTATGAATAATTCACTGCCCACCAACACAGCACTCAGAGGGTCCTGAGGGATTTGACTCTAGGTCCAGTACAGTTCAATATTTCGGTAACAATTCAGAGCACGGAATTCAGGAAACACTAACTGCATTTCAAGTGATACAACATTTTAGAAGATAAGATTAAAATGCAACATATTTCTGATAAGCTGTAACAATAAATTGAAATCATGAAGATACTCAATAAAGATAAACAATTCTCTATAGAAGTACTAATACTGAAGGTTCAGAAGCTCAGTCTCTTCAGGATTTAACCAAAATTTGTAACCCTTCTTTTCCACGGTTTAATTTCCAGATATCCTTTTCCCAGTAGCCAGTGCTTCTCAGTCTTCAGATCCAGACAGGTTCCTATTCCTCTTCCCTGAACACTCCTCTTTCTGCATTGCTCTCCCCAAATAGGCCTCCACCAGCTTCCAGAGCAACAAGCCTCTGCCACCTTTACCTCTGCATTAGTGAAATGACAAACTAGAAACCACTTAAAACTTCTGAACACACAGAATCACTACAGAGGAACACAGTTAGCTAAAATGTAGACAACAGATAGAAATGAGGTTACAGACACAAAACAGCATCATGGAAAAGATCACAGATTAAAAATAGAAACATCAATTACAATACAAACATTAATCCTAAAAAACACCACCCAATTTTGATAAAAATTTAAGAGATGCAACAAAAAAGAATACAAAATGCTTAGCAATCATTTGGTTTTAAAAAGCAAATTCTAGAATACCATTTGAAACACCTAATTCTTCAGCCTCTAAGAAAACAGAAGATATTTTTTTTAACTACGTATATAAGGGCTCACCCAAGTAAATTCTTGACAACATGTCTACCTGTTTCTTTCCAAAGACAGTTTGGAACTCAGGACACAAGAAAACAGAAGATATTTTTTTTAACTACATATATAAGGGCTCACCCAAGTAAATTCTTGACAACATGTCTACCTGTTTCTTTCCAAAGACAGTTTGGAACTCAGGACACAAGCACATGCACTCACTGGAACCACATTCTGGTGGGAATAGAAGTTGAGGGTCTGTGTGGAGATGGCTGACTCGTGTGTGTCTCCAGGTAAAGAATTATGAACCAATCCCCCCCTGCAAGGGGCACGCGTATGTAAGCACCTTTCCTTGTGAGTAACGTCCTCTTAGGCTTCTTTCTCTCTGTGTCAACTTAACAGCACTTATCCTAAATTTGATGACGACTAAAGCTCTTCAGGGATCCAGTTTTGTTTAAAGGTGTTTGGATTCTACCTCCTTTCAACCAGTTTTTATGCCCAGTCTGACATAAGGCCTTGCTGTGTGTGTTATGCTCTGCCCTTATCATTTACTAATACCCAACAAAATGCTTATCACCCACATACACAATGCATATATAAAGGGCAACCTGCCTACATAACATAGCACAATTGCTGCAATGCTGCAGTTGATGCCTGAGGAAATCCACAGCTTCTTTTATTACCATGTGAAGGGCTCCTGGATGGCCATTTAATTCAGAAGTTATATTCAGGGGCCTATAATCCCTAGCACTTTGGGAGGCCTAGGAGAATCGCTTGAGGTCAGGAGTTCTAGACCAGCCTGAGCAAGAGCAAGAACCCATCTCTACAAAAAACAGAACAATTAGCCAGGTGTGGTGGCCCATGCCTGTAGTCCCAGCTACTCGGGAGGCTGAGGCAGGAGGATCGCTTGAGCCTAGGAGTTTGAGGTTGCAGTGAGCTAGGCTGATGCCACTGCATTCTAACCCAGGCAACATACACAGTGAGACCCTGTCAGAGAGGAGGGGAGGGGAGTCAATTTGTGTAATATAATCACTTGCAAAAGAAATTCAAAGATTTTTTGCAACCTCTCAAATACTGTACAAATCCAGTTAGCAGGTCATACAAAAACAAAGTATACTAGCCTCTATGTAAATGGAGTACTGAATAAGTGAAATTTCTATATTTATATCATAATAATACAAAGTACAATTTTAATAATACCATCCATTAAGATGCACTCAAAATGAATTCACATAACTATCCAGAAGATAAAGTGCTTTTTAAAGGTTTATTCCCTGACTAAAAGAACATCAGAACACCTGGCTGACATCAAATGTCCATTTTGTGCTCCTAAGACCTAATCAGTAAGAAGTTACTTTTCTCCCCTCCTAGATGTCCTCATTAAAAGCCACGACCATGGAAACCTACTCCACTGTGAAGAGAAGCCACCTGCAATAGGTACATCTCCTGTATCCTATTCAGAGGACTAACGAGAGTGTCCCACAGACAGCTGTGGCATTCCAGGGACACTCAACCCCAGCATGCATGGCATTCCGGGCCACACGATTCTGCTGTGGAGGGTTGTCCCACACATTAGAAGATGTTTAGCAGCACCTGTGCCCTCTACCCACAAGATGCTAGTAGCACCCCTCTTCTAGTTGTGACAACCCAAAGTCTCTAGATATGGCCAAATGTCCCTTGGGGAGGAAATCTCCCCAGGATAAGAACCACTGGGCTAGACCAATGTATTTCCGGGTCACTAAAGACATGTAGGATTCTCTATATATTTGTTTAAAATAACAAAAAAGTATCTGAGTAACACTAATAAACCAATTCTAAAAATGGAGAAATGAATAATTAAATTTACCACCAAAGTAACTTTGGTGAACCGTGACAGACTTAGTTTATGACAGAAATGAATCTACCATGACCATCAATCATTGATGGGACTGAGATTACCTGACAGATGAGAAACAATGTTCTCAATCTTAGCCAGAACCATCTATCAAGTTAATTCTCATTAGCCTTAGACTAGAGATGAAGGGACTATCAAAATCACCTGTCCTGCCTGCTGTTTTGTGGGAGATACTGAAGGCCAGGGCCACGGAGGGACCAATCAAGTCTATGATGATCAGAAATTAGAACCAAGAGGTCCTGCCCACACTTCCACATGCTTACTGTCACTCACAACTGCCAAATATTGTAATGGCAGGTGGTGGAAGTGCCTACATTTCCTTAAATCAGTGCAGTGTTTTCCTGATACTTGATTTGTGCCCTATATGTCATCAAATTAAAAGAAAAACAGAAGCAAACCCATAAGGACTTTACAAAGTGGGCTTCTATCTGTGAGGCAAGAGCAGCATGAAGTGGGAGCCACTGGGAGCCTGGTAAGCACATGAGTGCACTTACCATTGGGTTCCTGAGGGTCCTACATGGCGCTACTGCCAGCTGGCTGCTCCGCTTGGTCTAGACAAGAAAGACAGGAATGAAACCTGAGGAAAGTGAAATGGAAATGACGACAAAGAACAACATGAGGGAGAGGACAAAACTTATGTACATGAGGAAAAGAAACGCACACATCAAGATAGGAAATTGAATGCAAAAGAAGGAAAACCGTTATCTACTACATCATGGTGCTCACATAGTAAAGAAATGATTAATGTTTAACTGTGTACTTAGTTGCTGAGAGTAAGACCAATGTAGTATATACTCATTCTCAGGCCTGTACCATGCCCATGTTATAGAACTGATGCCCTTACTACGTATGGACCGTTCTGCTAGAAGACCCCGAAGTCCCAATGTATGCCTCTCATTTTCCAGGGGAGACACTCAAGGACCAGAAATGTGAAGTAACATGCTCAAGGTCATATGACTACATTAGCTCTAGAGCCAGAATTAAAACTCAAGGTGATAACACTAAAAATGCTCTCTTCTACAGCTATTTCTTAACACCAATAATAGCTTAATAATCGTACCTTATTCTTTAAAAGCACTTTACATCCATTATTTCACTTGGTTTCAAGGGCAAATGAAAAAAAAGTTGTATAAAGACTTGCGCTGCATTTTATAGTAAAGTAAAATTGAAATGCATTTTTTCCATTTCTGTTTTATCTTATGCCAGAAACGGTATCAGTCAACAGCACAGAACCCTGATCTGAACAAATACGATTCACCACTGAATAATATGAACAAAATTGGATTTTCTAGTGAAATAGCTACCATAGACAGACATTCAACAGCCATAACGACTACTTGCTAAAACAATGTGTAGCATCATACTGCTAGTGCCTGGGATGCCAGTTGCAAAATCAAAACTGCCTAAAGCATCACATGAATAATTTAACCTAGGTCTAGATTATGTTCTACTATCCTAATCAACTGGACAAACACTAGGAAATTCTAGAGAATAACGTCTCACTTAAAAATGTTCAGGCAGCAGAGAGAATGCAAAATTCTAGAAGGCTTGCTAAACTTACACTAAAAATTCATCACAAGACTGAAGGCTCACGCATTTGGCAATTTAAAAATTAAATTTAGAACTATATGTAACTCCACATGTGCTGCCTCCTCACTGGGGAGCTATCCAACTCTGAAGTATAAAATCAGAATTAAACATCAGTGCACAGAAGGCAGGGTCATCTGATCTTCATTTGGGGAGCTCACCATCTTACTCAGATC